GACCCAGTAATCCAATTTGCTCACTATATACTTCAAGAACGGCTGGATATCTGTTGTAATGTAAAGCATAGTTTTGAGTGTCATCTAAGTATCACAAAACTCTCTTCATTGCCAACCAATGATTATGATTAGGATTACTTGTGTATCGGCTCAGTTTACTGATAAAGCAAGCTATGTCTGGTCGTGTACAATTCATGACATACATTAAGATTCCCAATACACTAGCATAGTCCAATTGAGACTGACTTTCGCCTTTATTCTTTGCAAGATGAAGATTTACATCGATTGGAGTCTTTGCCCTTTTAAAATTCAAAAATTTAAATTTTTCAAGTATCTTTTGAATATAATGAGTTTGAGACAATGCTAGACCGTTAGGAGTTTTAAAAATTTTAATTCCTAATATCACATAAGCAACTCCTAAATCTTTCATATCAAACTTACTAGCAAGCATACGCTTTGTAGCTTTTATATTAGCAATGTCTTTGCTCATTATAAGCATATCATCTACATATAGGCATAAAATAACTTCCTGATTTGGAGTATCTTTAATGTAAACACATTTATCACATTCATTGATCTTAAATCCATTTGACAACATGGTTTGATCAAACTTTGCATGCCACTGTTTTGGTGCTTGTTTTAGCCCATAAAGTGACTTAATAAGTTTGCACACTTTCTTTTCTTTACCAGGAACTACAAAACCCTTAGGTTGTTCTATGTTAATTTCTTCTTCAAGCTCTCCATTTAAGAAGGCTGTTTTCACATCCATTTGATGAATTTCAAGACCGTATACTGCAGCTAGTGCAATTAACATCCGAAATGATGTAATCCTAGTCACTGGCGAGTATGTATCAAAATAATCAAGACCTTCTTTTTGTCTAAAACCTTTGACAACAAGTCTTGCTTTATATTTGTCAATAGTTCCATCGTCTTTCATCTTCCTTTTAAAGATCCATTTTGAACCCAAGGATTTGTTCTCTCGAGGAAGATCAACCAACTCACAAGTATTATTGCTTAAGATTGATTCAATTTCACTATTAACAGCCTCCTTCCAAGAGGTTGGGTCGCTAGACAACATTGCTTCCTTGAATGTTTGTGGCTCACTTTCAAGAAGAAATATTACAAAATCCGATCCAAATGAAGTAGATATCTTTTGACGTTTACTGCGTCTTGGACTTTCTTCATTTTGTTCATTCTCTTTTGGTTTTTCTCTGGGTTGTTTAGATCCCCCACTAGATGACTCAAGTCTAGTTTTATATGGATAGATATGTTCAAAAAATTCAGCACTGTCTGATTTCATTACCGTATTATCATGAATATCCGGATGTTCGGACTGATGAACCAAAAATCGACATGCCTTACTGTTTGTGGCATATCCCATGAATACACAATCCACAGTCTTAGGCCCTATTTTTACCCTCTTAGGTATAGGAACTTGGACTTTGGCTAGACACCCCCACACTTTGAAATATTTCAAATTGGGTTTTCTACCTTTCCATTTCTCATATGGAATTACATTTGTCTTTGAGTGAGGCACTCTGTTAAGTATCTGATTTGCTGTAAGGATAGCTTCCCCCCACAAGTTTTGTGGTAAACCCGAACTTATAAGTAATGCATTCATCATTTCTTTTAAAGTTCGGTTTTTTCTTTCTGCAATTCCATTAGTTTGAGGAGTGCAGGGAGCAGTTTTTTGATGGATTATTCCATTTTCTAAACATATTTCTGCAAATGGAGATTCATATTCTACACCTTTATCACTTCTGATCATTTTGATCTTTTTATCTAACTGATTTTCAACTTCAGTTTTATATTGCCTAAATGCATCTATTGCTTCATCCTTACTATTTAGCAAATAGATATAACAATATCTAGTGCAATCGTCAATAAAATTTATGAAATACTTTTTCCACCACGTGATGGTGTTGACTTCATGTCACAAATATCAGTGTGAATCAATTCTAAAGGATTTGAATTCCTTTCAACAGATTTATAAGAATGCTTAGCATACTTCGATTCAACACAAAATTGACATTTTGATTTATTGCACTCAAATTTTGGCAAAATATTTAAGTTAATCAGTTTTCGCAAGGTTTTGTTATTAACGTGTCCCAAACATTCATGCCATAAACATTTAGACTCAAGCAAGTAAGAAGAAGCAAAATCTTTATTCATATCAACTGCAATTACATTGAGCTTGAAAAGGCTATCACTAAGGTAGTCTTTTCCTACATACATATCATTTTTGCTTACTACTACTTTCTCAGAAATAAATACACATTCAAATCCATTCTTGGTCAGAACTGGAATTGAAACTAAATTCTTTCTCAATTCTGGAACATATGAGACCCTATTCAAAGTCACCACCTTGCCTGATGTCATCTTTAATAGGACTTTGCCAGTTCCTTCCACCTTTGCAACAACGGAGTTTGCCATAAACAATTTTTAATCTGTAAGTGCTAGAGTATATGATGAAAATAATTCTTTGTTGGCATAAACATGGCATGAGGCACCAGAATCCATCCACCATTCTCTTGGATTTCCAACCAAGTTACATTCTGAAAGCATTGCACACAGATCGTCCATTTCTCCTTTGGATTCAGTCAAGTTTGCTTGATCCTTCTTTTTCTTGTCCTTCTAAGGACCCCTGCATTCATTAGCCCTATGACCATGTTTACCACAATTAAAGCAGTTTCCATTGAATTTCTTCTTAGGAGGATTGTTTTTTGGACCAAATGCTTTCTTTCTTTTCTTTAATTTTGTGGGATCTTCTTCAACAAAATTTACTCCAGATATTGCTGAATTACCACGTGACCTCTTTTCTGCAGCCTTATTATCTTCTTTGATTCTCAACCTTACTATGAGATCTTCAACAGTCATCTCCTTGCGTTTGTGTTTCAAGTAGTTTTTAAAGTCCTTCCACAATTGAGGTAACTTTTCAATAATTGCAGCCACTTGAAAAGCATCATTCACAATCAATCCTACATTAAAGGTTATGTGAGTATTAAGAGAAAACTTAATATTTCTAACATAGGCATTAAATAAATTTATACCTTCAGCAAGGAGATCATGGACTATGACCTGCAATTCTTGAACTTGGGTGACGACAGTCTTACTGTCTATCATCTTATAGTCCAGAAATTTTGCCACAATGAATTTCTTCATTCCGGCATCTTCTGTTTTGTACTTCTTTTCTAAAGCATCCCAGAGTTCTTTTGAGGTTTTGGCATTGTTGTACACATTGTACATATCATCTTGCAGACCACTCAAAATATAATTTTTACACAAAAAATCTGAGTGTGTCCATGCTTCTGTTACCAAGAATCGTTCATCAGCCGGAGTTTCATCTGACATAACAGGAACATTCTCATTGATGAACTTCTACAGACTCAACGTAGTGAGATAGAAGAACATCTTTTGCTGCCATCTCTTAAAGTCGACTCAAGAAAACTTTGCAGGTTTCTCAGCCGGTGCTAAGGCAGCATTTGAACGATTATGTGCAACCGTTGTTGTTGCAGCACTTACTGTTCCAGCATTTGTTTGACTTGAATTAGTCTCTTTTTTTCTGTCACAAATTGCAGATAAATTAAGTATTTGAAATACTAACAGTAAAGAACAAATCTTTACACAAACTGTTTCTGATTTAACGATAAAGTTTTTATGTTCTTTTAATCGTTAATCGAATGAATTTTAAAAATTCAAGCAGAGTAGAAAACCATAAAAGTTTTAATCTCCAGAAACCTCAAATACAGAAACTGTTAAATTTCTTAAGATTGTTATTCTTACAATAACCTGTATTTATAAGGTTAATAAACAGAAATAGAAATAAGATGAAGCAGAAAAAAAATATAAAATACAAGAATTAATTCGCGTCCACAGAAACTACTGTGTGTCCTTAAGAAATTTAATCCCCTCACTGTACCCAAGGTTATGGATTAATTTCTCCCAAAATAAAACGGATTAAACATGTTAAAGAAATAGCGGTACCTCAAACTTCTTTAACTTCAACGAACTTAAGAACAGCAACAAGTCACACAGACTCAGTCGATCGACACTTTGATTTTATTTGAGAGAAAAATAAATGCAGAGAAAGAAAAATTTTCAGTGTTTGAAAAATCGAAAATTAACTTCCTTTTATAGCCATTTTTCAGCAAGAAACAGTTTTCAGATAAATCTGTTCAGACCCGTTTATTCCAGAAAGTTGTGTCTTTTGGAAAAAATAACAAATTTTTGAAAAAATGTGTCTGTTAGGAAAATAACTATTTTTTGGAAAGTAACGACTTTTCGGAAAAGTAATGACTTTTCGGAAAAGTAATGACTTTTCGGAATGTTACCGTTACCCGCAAATTTATAAGAGATAATATTAACAGGATTTATTTGATTTAACAAAAACTGATTAAATAAATTTTGTCCAAAAAACTTATCAATCAATCACATCAAAATCCAAATTCAAGCCGAGCGATGACGACGGCGCGAGGGGGCATCTTCTTCTTATCTCTTTAAGAAGTAATGGAAGTGTTTCCTTCTATAAGGACAACATTTTCCATTTCTTTTGCCGATATGGGAGAAATGACTTTTCATTTGCACTTTTCATTTTCCCTCCAATGTAGTTCCCTCACTTTTCATATTCTTTCTTTTCTTTTCCCATTCATACTTGCTAAAACCCAACACCAAACACTTGACAAAAAATAATCTCTAGGCATTACTAATCCCTATATTATCAATGTTTGTACCAAACGACCCCGAGTGTTTAGGCGTGTTAAAGAGAAAAATTGAAAGAATTGAATATAGGTACGAGAGTGGAAAAAGTAAAGAGTTGTATATATGTTGAAAATGGTAAGCTTAAAGTTGTTCCACGTGTTTTTGTTTTATTGGATGAACTTTAGTATTTTAGGCGGTAAAGGATAAGAGAGATATTTATCAAATCAAAAACAAAAGAGGCTGAAAAAAAATATGAACATACCGGCGGTTCTCCCTTGCTCTTTCAATCGGCTTCAATGTTCTACTCCACCAGCACATTTGTTAAGGTGCATGCTTGTTTGTGTGTTTTTTTCCTTTGAATACATGAAGTTGTTAACAATTTTTATTTGTTTTTGCTGACCATAGATTGGTCATCCGCAAGAAAGGTAGACTTGTTTGCAGATTGAGTCACGACAACAATAAGGTTTTCTTTTTTTAATTAATTCTTACTATTCCATTTGTGTTTGATGTGCAGGCTTTCTTACTCTTATTTTATTTTGTATTTTAAAGGAAGACGACTCTGTTCAAGATAATAATAATAATAGTCATCAGGTGAATTCTTCATTGCAATAATTAAATGGAAAAAAGTTTAAGTGAATAAAAAGTCATTTTGTAGTCTTTTAGGATAATGATCAACCATTGGAGAATACAAGTCTTGAAAACAATGATGGGCCTCAATTGAATGGGCTAACCGGATTTGAGGTAATTGATCGTATTTACTTTTTAGTAAAAGTACATACAATGAGTTAATGACTACAGCTATAATACCCGATGTTCTAGTGCCCTATCCATATATCGTTACGTTGCAAATGCATTTTCAACATATTTATTGCTTTCGCATTCAGAATTTGCTTTGTAATAGTGGTAAAGCAATTCTATTTCAATTTTTCCATGTCATTTTCTTAAGCCTTGGTTGAAGCAGGATGATACTGACGATCAACTTGCTAGTGAATCACCTCTTCCCGGTGTCAAGGTGGTTGATTATTTATTGGATACATTGTTTATCATGTTGATTTTTTTCTTACTTTTGATACTATTTCACAAGCAGCCTCAACAACTCGATGAATCAATCAGGATCCCCAAGGAAACAGTTGAAATTCTCAGAAATCAAGTATTTGGTTTTGACACGTTTTTTGTTACAAGCCAGGAGCCGTATGAGGTGATCTATCTGCTGAAATGTTCTTTTTTATCTCATTTAACAAAATTCTAAGTCAAACATGAACCAATAATTTATAAGTAAATTTAGTTGAGATACAACCATGAAAAGTAAATACCCTCTTAAGCAAGTGGTCGTGCGCTTGTGTTTCTGTTCTTGCCTTCTTGCTTAATATGCAATTCTTTGTGGTTCCACTCTTCGACTTATTTTTATAGGGTGGAGTACTATTTAAAGGGAATCTACGAGGACAGGCTGCAAAAACATATGAAAAAGTATCAAAGAGAATGCAGGTGGCTCAAGTTTCCTCTCTTTTTCTCCAATTTAGGTTGGACATCACCGTGGTCTCTTACTATTTCAAAATGGCACTTGCCTAACAGGAAAAACTTGGAGATGACTATAAATTTTTTCTTTTAATCAATCCAGAGGATGATAAGCCTGTGGCCGTTGTGGTCCCAAGAATGACCCTGCAACCTGAAACTACAGGTAAATTATTCATCATCCTCACAGGCTTCAATTCCTGTGTCAAAATAAAAATAAAAATAGAGCTTCTCCTTGTCAAATAGTAACATAGTTTGTCTGAGACTGCAGCTGTTCCAGAATGGTTTGCAGCAGGGGCCTTTGGACTCGTTACAGTATTCACTTTATTTCTTCGCAATGTGCCAGCATTACAATCGAACTTTTTGTACGTACCGTATCTATTCCATTACTCTAATATTACCTGAAATGGTCACTGGCTTTGCATTTGCTTCGAAAGTCAAGTGGAGCTTAACATTTAAAGTCCAATTTATATTTTTCATTTTCCAAGTCCAATATAGCTGAATTATGGAATAGTTGCGTCATATCAATATTATTATGTACTGGACTTCTGCTTTCGTATAAGGATTTTGAAAATACAAAATTATTAGGTAAATCTTTGTTGTCTTCTACTCTATTCTCTTGACATTTCAGTTAGAAGTGCTCACTTTTTATTTTCAAGATTGTGTCGAGTTTTATTTGCATTTGCTCAAATTATAGCAAGTGAATCTAGACAAATCTCAGTTATAACAATCTTTCTTGAAATCTGTTATCTTGGATAATTCATGTTGTCGGACTGTGCATATTCTTCTTAAACCTGTTTCGCCAAAACTCACAGCCACTAAGATATAATTTTATTTCCCAGATCAGTTTTCGACAATCTTGATTTGTTGAAAGATGGATTACCTGGAGCTTTAATGACTGCCTTTCTTCTGGGGGTTCATGAAGTTAGCCATCGTTTAGTTGCCACAGAAGTTGGGATTAAGCTCAGCATCCCATATTTTGTTCCTAGCTGGCAGGTAAGGTGTATAGGACCGTAGGTTTCATGCACTCTATGGATTAGACAACCCTTTGTGTCTCCTTATTCATATGTCGTCCTAGTTGATCTAAAACCTCATATTGATAAAAAATAATTTTGGGGGTTGTGGAGTCCTTTTGTAACTGCCAACTATGACTCATAGGTGAAGCATTTCTCCAGTCAGCTGATAAGATATCCTTGTTGGGTCAGGAATGCATCAATTATCTACTGCACCTTTTCTCTTGGGAAGATTCTGTTGTATTGGAGTTCGCTAACCGTGTCAGACTGATAAATGTTTGGACACTAAAATTGTCAAGTCATAAAGCTACTTTTGATGATAATTCGTGACATTTGGTTTGTCCTGTCTGCAGTGTAGTTGGCTATTATTAGAAATAGTCAGTCTTGTAATGTTAATCTGGCCTGATATGATATTTCTCTTTATAATAACACTTGAGAATGCTCATTAGTGACACCCAGAGACAAGAGTTCTCTTTCTTTTCTAGTGCGATAGTATTAAATTACAGATATCTTGCAGCACCTGTAAGGGACCAAAAACTCTTCTAATGGTTATCCAAGTCATTGGTTTTAGCATCACCAAGCCGCAAGGTTGAGTGAATTTCTACTCTTTTTTTCCTGCAAAGCGATAGTCGTGTGAATTTCAATTGCTTTCCTGTGTAAGTGTAGTACTTAACCGAAATTAATAGTGAGCAGATTTACTGGTATCTCCGGATCTGTAGCAACCACGACTCGTGTCATCGGTCTTTAGTAATCCTCATGAAGCTGATGAATTCCTTGTTTTCAGACTAAAAATCCTTTGTAGTAAGATGTATTGAATATTCTGTTTCTGAACACTGGCCATCATATTAATGTTAAAAAACTATCTTTTCTTTTTCTCAACACCCATAATGGTTATTTATATGTTAATTGGCTATGGATGGACCCAACCCAATAGCTATTTCGAAATACATTTGCATTACTTCAAAGGAAGATTCTATAAATTTTTAAGAATTTCTGTAAATTGTTGCTACAGCCCGTAATGTGTAACTTGATCATCTTTATTGGAAATTTTAGACACTCTTGTTAAATTTCTATATTTCCTTGTATCTCTTACTGCTTCAGGAAGAAAATGCATAAGTTCACCATATATCAAGTTCCGACTTAATTTCAAATACTCTATGTATGGTAGTTCTCAGTGATGTGGCTGCAAGAGAACTTTTAGGTGCTGTCTAGTTAGTCATGGTGAGTGGTGAAATGTGATTGGCCATCACGTTTAATGAGCTGTTATGGTGGCAGATAGGATGTTTTGGTGCTATAACAAGGATTCTAAATGTTGTACCAAATCGTGAAGATCTGTTGAAAGTTGCAGCAGCTGGACCATTAGCTGGGTTCTGTGTGGGGTTTATTCTTTTGCTTTCAGGATTCATGTTACCTCCTAGTGATGGGATTGGCATCATCGTAGATCCGTCTGTGTTCCATGAATCATTTCTAGCTGGTGGTATAGGTAAGTAGTAATAGTAGTTTGTGTTATGTTTGGTACTCTATTGTGCAAAGAAAGAGTTGAGCGTTTGTTTTGATTGTTGACATGTAGCCAAGCTTTATTTAGGAGATGTTCTCCAGGAAGGAAGTCCTATATCAGTACATCCGCTTGTGATATGGGCGTGGGCTGGACTTGTGATAAATGCTATCAATAGCATTCCTGCAGGAGAGCTTGATGGTGGTCGGATTGCATTTGCGATGTGGGGAAGGAAGGTAACATAACATAACATAGTGTCTATAACATGTGTAAAGATGGATGGATGGATGGATGAATTGATGGTTAATTTTGATGCTGCGCAGGCTTCAGCTCGCCTTAGTGCTCTATCTATTGGTCTTCTGGGAATATGTTCATTATTTAACGATGTAGCATTTTACTGGGTAGTCCTAATATTCTTCCTCCAAAGAGGGCCTATTGCTCCACTATCAGAAGAAGTCACTCATCCTCAAAATAAATACATGGCTCTTGGAGTTGTAGTATTGTTCTTAGGCCTCCTCGTTTGCCTCCCGTATCCTTTTCCCTTCTCTAATCAACCTGCTCTCTAGACACATGTTTGTTTTTTGGGTTGGGGGGGGGGGGGGGGGGGGGCTCTTTGGGTTCATTCAGTTAAACTGTTGATAAATTTTTATAATAATACATGTTTCACATTATATATATATATATATATACACATATATGTTTGCACATTTTTACTCTTTCCTTCCAAATTCAAATTTCTCTTATTTTTCAATACATGGGAATGGTCATATTTCGTGTTTATTTGATTGTTCATTTTCCACTTCAAAAATTTAACCATACAAACATACACTATAATTTGTTTGACTGGACATTTTTAGAATTTAGAAATATTAAATTTTTTATTTGTTAGAAAAGTAATTTTACTTCAAGAATCTTATCAACATTGCATTTTTTATTATTATTATTATTTATTGATACAAATAAAATTACTTTATTAGACAAGAAAAATAATTAACATTTCTAGTCATACGCACTCCACTTCAATAATTTGTTTGTCAATTGAGTTTTCAGTCATTTTGCTTCTCGTTGTGTTTCTTGAAAAACTTTTAATATAAATAAAGGATCGAGAATGCAGTACATTGCACAATGTATCAACATTGCTACTTCAATTAAATTGAGGGTAAATAATCTAACTATATAAAATAAGTATCTAAATAATCACTATATGACAGTAGTTTTACTTTTCATCAACATAGCAATAGAACTTTTACAAAATACAGACAAAACAAAAAAGAAAGGAAAACATAATATTCAACATTTAGTGGTATTCTAACTTATTAATTTCCTCTATTTTGTTATTTACCTTCCCCAAATATCTATAATATTTGTTAATATTGTTGGATTTTATTTGTTTAGTTTACCCCCCATCCCGAGAGCCTTTTTCTAGTTTTTTTTTTTAATTTAAATTTCTTTTATGAAAGTATTTTTAGTTTTAATTCACCTCCACTCCACCTAACCGTATGCTTCAAATTCTTTACGTTTCTGTTAGATATAAATATATTAAAAATATTTTTACTTGCTGCTACAATCTTTTTTAAGTAAAATTTTTATTTATGTTCTATTCGGTACACAAGTAGAAAAATATTTCTAAAAAATATATGTACATATCTAATACAAAACAAGAAAATGTAAAAATGTAAAAAATAAAAATAAATTAGGAATGGAGAGTTAAATATGGTGGGTGGAATTTTTATTTTTTAAAAATAAAATAATATCAATTTGGGGGTGGGACAAGGTGAAGTATGAATTTTTTAAAAATGTTTTATAAAATAATTTTATTTTTTCTTTAAAGAAAAGGACGGGGAATTGTCGGGGAGGGGGGAGGTGAGGAGGTGGTGGAGTGGGGTAATAGATTTTTTTATTTTTTTTAAAAAAAAGTAGATTTTGGGAATGTAGTAATTTAATCTTTGATTTTTTTTAATTAATATTAATAGTTTATTATTTTATTTTTGTGATGAAGGATTATTTTATCAATGTGAAATGTCATGTGTCAGTTTTTTTAAAATAAAAGATATAGCGCTTTAGACACACTACTGAGGTGTGTTTCTCAAATAATAAGTGATAGTTTGAATATGAAACTACAAAAAGAGATAGTTCAGATATATTTTTGATATTTATCTCAATATTTAATGATATTAACAATTTTAGTAATCCTATTCACTCTAGTCTTGAAACACTAGTCTATCCATTGTCGAAAGTCAATTTACTTCATCATATAAAATGCTTTTTTTTTAGAAAAAAAGTTGTTAAAAGGTATATCATAATATTTGTTGGTTTAAATATTTCTGGATTAAATGATTGAATATTGGTTAAAAGTATAGTATAAATATGTTATATTTATTTGCATATGTGAGTTATATTGTTGGATTAACATATGCTGTAATTCTCTAAAAATTAGAATAACCTAAAAATTATTAGGGAAATTTACATAAATATACTATAATAAAAAAATATTTACCATTTATAGCAATAATATTTTTATCTCACTTGATCACTTTTAATTCATTTATAATACAAGTTTAATATATATTATAAAGAATAATTTATTATTCACATATAATACAAATTTTAATGATGAATAATACATTTATCACACATTTTAATACATTTATAATACAATGTGACAATTTTTTACCAAACAAACATGATATATTTCAAAAAACAATTATAATTCATATATATTGCATACATAATTCACTTTTAATTCATATTACAGATTTAACAAAGTATTGCTATAAATGGTAATAAACAAAAAGTATCGCTAAAATCAGTAATTATTTTTTAAAATGTATTAATTTATGTAATTTTTCCAAATTATTATGGGACATGTAGTGGCATTATTTATCAAATTATATATCAATTTTTGAAGATCATTCTGTAATGCTTAGTAATTCAAAATGATTATGTTATACCTTTCAAACTGTCAAACCATCATCAAAAAGTTGATTTTCTTCATGGTATAAAATGATTTTCTTTGAAAAAAAATTAAATGTCAAACTTTATTATATATTGATATATTTAAAGGTATATATCATTATAACAATTGTTGGTATAATGTTGGCTCCATAGTTGGTATAAACGTCTGTTGTATATATAATATGGTATAAATTTGTAATTTATTTGCATATATTGAGTCATGTTGTTAGATTAACACATGGTATAACCCTAAAAAGACAAAATTACTTAAGAATTTCTATGGGCATTAAATGGTATACAACACCTATTAATGTTCTCACTGAAACAACCAATACAAATATTCACTTTCACTATTCTACATCATAATATATACATCTCACAACTCAAAACATCACATTAATGGAAACAAGAAATCACAAAAATTACCAACATAATAATTCAATATCACATTTAATACTATAACATCATCACCTCCACAATTCATCAGGCTATATTTATTAATTAATAGACAAACAACCACAAAAAATACCAATACAGTAACTAACTACCACAAAAAATGTCATATCAATACCTTCTTATAGTAAAATAATAGATAAATTATTAACCATAAAGACACCAGAATTACTATAAATTAATACACACTACTCATTTTCACAATTCAACCCTGCAATATAAACAAATTCATATTTCACCATTGCCCAATATATTAACAAATTAGACATTACAATTATCGTCATTATAACCTTTATTTTTTTAAAAAAAAAAATCATGTTAATAAGATTAACAAAAATTACAGAGCTAGAGCGGGACATGGAAACCTAACCTCCAGATATTAAAAAGAAAAACGTTTATAGTAAAGCTAATACTCCTAAGAGATCTTGTCTATGCATAACAGTTTTTGATATTTTTAAGTGCTATAAACCTAGATAAACATAGAAGTAATCAATAACTAGATTTAGGGTGTGTTTGGCATGGAGGAAAATGTTTTTCGTGGAAAATATTTTCCTAAAAAATATTTTTCTAGAAAAACATGTAGATTTTGGACTTATTTTCTCATGTTTGGTTGGTGAGTAGAAAATATTTTCGAGAAATGATTTTTAGTGTTTGATTTATGAATGAAAAATATTTTTGAGAGACATCTTTTATTTTTACTAGATTATAAAATAATTTATGAAATTGAAAATATTTTTTGAAAACAAAAATATTATTTCTTTGGGGTGGTGGTGAGGTAGTGGGTGGGGGCAGGCGGAGGGGTAAGAGTGAAAAAATAAAAATTTGAAGTTGATGGTATTTTTAAAAAAACAAAATTAATTTTTTTGGTTGTCGGGGTTGAGTGGGGGGTGGGGGGGGCTGGCCGAGGGGGCGGCGACGTTGAACTTAAAAAATAAATTTTTGAAGTTGAAAATATTTTTTAAAAGCAACATTAATTTTTTGGGGAAGGGGGGGGGGGGGTGGCCTCAGGGTGGAGTCAGAGATCGGGTAAAAAAATAAAATTTTGAAATTAAAAATATTTTTAAAAAAATTAATGTTTTTCCCATTAAAAATGTAATTTGAAATTGGAGGAGAGTTTTGGAAAATGTTTTTCTTAATTTTTGAGGGAAGTCATTTTCCTCAAATTTGTGGAAAATGAGTTGATTTGGAAAATATTTTTCCAAAACTTTTGTCCCAACAAAATATGGGAAATTGGAAAATATTTTCCAGAAATTTTTTTTAAGCATACCAAACACACTCTTAGGCCTCATTTGTTTTCATTAAATTAAGACGTCTGAATCTGAATATATATATGAATATTAAGATATGCATTAAGATCTAGATATGTAAATCTGAATATTAAGATGTTGTATCTGAATCTGATCATTGTCTTGGGATAACTTGTTTTCAATATCTAAATGTGCATATCAAATTAAACGTTATATCAATAAAATATTTTAAAAATCTCATTTTAGTAAAATAATTATTTTTATAAAAAATACTATTTTGAACATTTTTATTGCAACAAGGTAATATGAATATGATCTATCTTTTAAGAATTTAATATTAAGTTACATTATTAATATGACTATTATTTCCACTCAAACACTTTTAGAATGTAATATAATGCATTGTAAAATAGTTTATATAGAGTAGTGCTATAAAATTTATGAAAATATTTTATTTCATAATAGACATGTGTTATAGTTCCCGGTCAAATAATTAATTCTTTTATATTTTTTGAAATCGTGCTATATATTATATCATGGAACGCTTATCAATTCAAATATATTGATTAATTTATGAAAGTAAAAGACATATAGTAAGTTAATAAAATAAAGGAAATTATAATGGTAAGCATGTAACTAACATTAATTAAATGGAAAAATGGTCAAAATTACCCATGAACTATTCGAAAGGTTTAAAATACCCCTCATTCACCAATTGGGTTATATACCCTTCCATCCAGCTTTTTAGTCCACAATTACCCCTAAAACTAACAATTTTTTATTTTTTAATTATTATTATTATTAATTATTATGTGGCATATTTTAATTTGATAAATTTATATCCAACCCATCAAATTTTTTCTACACATTTGACTCATATCCACATTCTTTGACCCAAACCCAATTAAAATTTTTATCAAAAATAATAAATTATACTTCATGACTTCTTCTCTTCCCTTGAACTTAATAATTTATTTTCTTTTTTCCTCTTTTCTTATTCAACAATTTCAAAATAAAATT